CTTTACTGAAAATAAGCTTGAATTTCTATTAGAATTGTTGTGGTAATAGCTGTTGGAAGTGCGTGTAACAGTGACATCTACACTTAATGCATGAAATTGTTTCTGCATTATAAAAACATAATTACCTTGTTTTGCTACAGCCCAATGCTGACACCCTTACTTATTTTCTTTTCAGATCCTTTTCTATTGTCTTCAGCAGTCTTGCCCATGAATAAGGATTGAGTGAAGGCAATTCTATTAGATTTGGGGCTATGAGTGATATAGAGAGGATAGAATGGGGTAAGAGGGTTAAGGAATGTGTAAACAAGGGTGCTACAGGGAAAGGGACAAAGGACAAGGGACAAAGAAGGGAAGGGTTTCTGCTTTTAAAACCTACTTCCACTACTTATAAAACTTACAAGTCTTACAAATATTAGAAAAATAAAAAAAACCATTAGGGGCTTAAGGCATCAAACGGTACTTGGCGGCTGAATTCTACAACTTTATGCCAAATCTTTTCTGTTGGATTGAGATCATCACAAACAACCACACATCAAACCATACAGGAAACAACTTATAAAGCAATGAAAACTATAGTTCAGTTACACCTTTTTACAGCACTTACTTAAATACAAAACCTGATTTTGGTATATGTATCTACCTACCTATATGCATTTGAGCAGATTCCTACTTCATCCACTTCAGCTCTGAGAGGTGTTCCAGACTAGGACAACAAGGTGACCCTATTGCTGATAGAACTCCCTTTGCTTCTAGCTCGATTTCCAACTTTAGTTGGTTGTCCTGAGCCATTAAAACATAGAGGTGGAGAGGGAAAGGAATTTAAATTATATATACAAATGTCTTGTACAAGAGAGATGTGGCAAAACTCGGAAACCTGCATTCATGCCTTGCTCTGACACATGCTGACAGAATGACCTTGAGTGAGTCACTTTTATGCTTAATATCAAGAATATATTTACCAAAGAGGAGTTACTAGATAGTAAATTAACTACTATGGAGTCTAACAGGTCATTAATTTGCTTATATCCATGGTCTGGAAACTGTCCACAATACCTCTGCTTTATGAGTTTACCAGAATCTGTAAGGTATACTGTTATGTTTGTGGCATGAATGCATTAATAACCAAACAATTAACAGATATTCTAGAGTACTCTACATGTTTATGACAGCCTGTAGCATCCATTAATTATTTACTGTAATGCACAGCTGTGACATAAAAGTTGTTTTTTATTCTCAAGGTATGTTGAGATCTATGAGGAAAAATCACTTAAGTTCTAAATCTTAGCCACGCTATTATTCTGCCTAAAGCATACTGAGGATTTACTGTACAGTGCTAAAGAGAAATTAAATTAATTTCAGAGTAACGACTGTGATTTCAGCTTTTCAAACTAGTGTAGCAGAAATTAGTACTTGACTTATTTGAGTCAAAGCAGTCTTGCCATACCTGATACTGCAACAGAATTGAACAAGAAACTAAGGTTCTGAAAACTGTGTGAAATAAATAAATCTCTGATGAGGAACCAAATCCTGCAGGATTGGTGCTTGATTTGTTTCCTTTCTCCCTGGCTCTCCACATCCCGCTCTTTTCAGGGACCTTTGCCTTCTCCACCAGTACCTCAGAACAGCCACAAGTGAAGTCAATGAAGCATTGAAAATTGAAAAAACATATTAACCTTAGGTTAGTTGGCTTCACTGGGGCAATTAATGTGGCAGAAGACATTCAGTCAACACATATACTTTCATTTTTGGTTCAGTCAACAGGGAATGCCAAAAGTATAACATGCCTGGCCACATACCTGCACAAGAGGAACCCAGTCACTGCAGACTAGAGAGACTGTCTGACTTGGTTAACCTTGTTTGTGGGCTACTCCTCCACGTCTCTCATATGAACTTTTACTGCAACTTATTTCTGTACTTCTCTAGTTTTCCCTCCCCATCGAGCTTGGTTTCCTCTCTCTTTCTATTCCTTCAACTGCTGCTTCTTGTCTCTTAAACAATCTACCTCAGGCAACAAACCCTAACTCTTACTCTGCCTCCTTTTTGCCCTTAATGACATTTGCCACACCTATATCTCTCTATCCCACTCTCAAGTCTTTACCATTGCTCAATCAACCCTTCTTGCATTCCCACTCTGTCCTTCTGACCAGTCCACTCCCCTTTCTTCTCTTCACTTGCTGCAGCTGGAAGATACACTTTAAATGTTTCCCACGGGCCTATTAAATCTCAGTGTCAACACACCCTGGATGCCCTTGTCTGACTCTCCCTCTGCAGCTTCAGCCTCCCAGAGAGACCTTACTTTCTCATCACATCCCACCCCTTACCCTCTCATGGAGGCTGCCCTCACCATCCCTGCCACTTTTTCTCTGCTTTTGAGCCATATCTTATCTCTATGAAGAACTGTCAACCAGCCAGTCCACTCCTCCTGATCAGCCCTCCTCTGTGATTTCAGCTGACTCTCTTCCTTTCATCACACTTTCTCACACTCATCCTCAGGAAGCTTCCAAGCTTCACGCTGATGTCCTTGCTGACCCTGTAGCAGACACCTGTATGCCTCCTTGCCCTGGTTCGTTCATTTCCCCTGCACCCCTTACTCAGTGTCCTACACCCTGGAAGAGCTATTCCTTTGATGGTGTCTGCAGCAACCATTGCTTTCCCCGACCTCTGTTGTCCCACCCGTTCTCTCTGATCTTTTTTGTCTCTTGCCATGTCCTTCTTCATGTCCTCTCATTTGCTCTTTCCATTATTTTAATCTCATCATATTGATAAAATCCCATCTAATCTCAGCCCTCTTCCTCCTGCTTTATCTTTCTTCTCTAGCACGGATTGATTGTAGGTTCTCTGTTTCTTACTCTCCACTCCTATCTCATGAAGTCTGGTTGCCAAACACATACCTCACTCTGCCTTCAGCTTCAGTTTCCTGGCTGACCTGTGATCAGGTTTACTTCATCCACAACCATTTGATTGTCTCCCCTTCCAGTTATGACATCCTTCTAATTTTTCCTCCTACTTTTCCAAGTTAAATGAAGACCTGGCTGCCTTTCACCATTTTTAATGCACTTTTCAAATGCTCTTTTCCTGAATAACTTCTGCACAAATCCTTGCCAAAGGAAATCTTAATATACTCTCTTCCTACAAGTTTATTCCTTGTCTCATGTTGAGTGTTTTTTCCTTCCTACTTTTACACTCTATGCTTGTCCTGTTACAACATAACTTCTGATCTGTTTCATACTAATTTTCATTCACTGCCTCAGTTTTCTTCTGAAGTTTTGACCTTCCTCCAACTCCTTGTCCTCACATTACAGACATGCTCTAATAAACAAACACACCCTATGCTGAATCCCATTGCTATTTCCAGCACTATCACTTCCCTTCTCAATATGCTGCTTACACTTACTGTCCAGTTTTTGCCCTCTCTGGATCAATGTTGGCCCCTAAGACAGATAACACCAACACCCAGCTAAAATTACCTGCACTTATATCTGCCCAAAACAAAACTCAGAGCCCACATGATTTTATTCTTTTTGATTATCTTTGTCACCGGCAACCTCGTTATTTCTCTCAACTCTTATCCTCATTTAGCCTGTTTGGGCTCTCTTACGCTCCTCCTCCTGACCATAAACCTAAATCAATCTTGCACAAGAAGCTATTATAATCCTACAAATCTTTCCTGAAAATACTCACATACTTTTTCTTGGCATCTTGCCAATATACCCATCACTGTCTATGCTGGGAGTCAGGATGGTGTGACTGATTCCTTGTGCTCCCTGTTGTATCTGCTGTCAGGCTTGGACTGATGACTTTTGAGGAAAAGCTTTTTTATTTTGTGTCTTGTCTAGCCTCAATGCTAGAGTTCCCACTGTCTTGAAAATGTAATTAAACAAGGGTATGCACTACTTTGGAAAAGTTGATCTCCTGTAGCTGCCTATTCAGACACCAAAGCACAATGCAGTCAGTCACTAATCTCTCTTGAAAATGTAGATCTAGGTTATTATTTTTAGCTCAGAATTTTTAACAACAAATTCCAGTGTCTTAATGCTATGCCAGCAGTGCAAAGCACCCACAAACTCAGCCTAGAAAGCCAGGTAATTCATCCAAAGATGCAAAGATCTAAGGAAGATGAGGCTTAAAATCCAGCTTTCAATATTTCAAAAAGCTTGCATTTCAGAAAACTTGCAGAACTTTTTCAACCATTTCTCTACAAAAGTATCAGTAACTATTCTGATTATTGAATAACAAACACCAACTACCAACTAACTGTATGAAAAGCCAAAGGTCCTTTAGCTTTTTTTTTAATGACATTTCCAGCTAGTGGAAATGTTTATGCTCATGCTCAAGCTGGTGTTACTGGCTGAGTTAGCAGTAAGTTCCTCACAGGATATATATGAACTCTCACAAGAGGTAGCATAAAAGCCCTCATTATCACATATAGGAAAGATCCAAAACAGGCATTTGGAACAAAAATCAAACAAATGAAGAATAAGCCTCAACGTAGTCAACACAATTCCTGGGTCCAGCCCTGCTTTTGTTAAAACTGTTTGGAAGCCATGTCTCTCCTGGAAATAGACATCTGGGCTCAGAAAAGTGAAAGCAAAAGGAGAAAAAGTGGCAACTCGCTTGCTATGCACTATTTTCTATAAGTACTGGCAGTCATGGGTACATAGTACAGAAATATCTAATAAATCAAAGAACCTCTATGGAGTGTGATGATGATACAACAATATACAATGTTGTATCAACAATGATACAACAATAACTTCAAAACATAACTGGAATTCTTATGATAAAGACTTCATTAAAATGTCTTTTAAAAAAAGCAATTTAATGCTATAAAATAATAATTTAAAAAAATATTAGAATGCGCTAAACCAAAGATAGTGGAGGAGAGGCAGACGAATGATCCTTTCAGCACAGACCCCCACTCCAGTCTCATTTCAGGCCCCCCACTCCCCTCCCTCCCCAGCACCTTCCCACTGCCACTCTCCCACCTCTCACTCACCATACACCAGTCAGTGGGGCACTGGCTGACACCTGAGTGCACACACGGAGGAGACCCTATCAGTCTGGATAGTCAGGCAGCAGCTGCGAGCATCACTATCCCATGGGTCCATGTGGGTGTGAAACCAGCAGTGGTTAAGGGATGTTAAAGGGATATTTACTTTCCTGTGGAAAGAGGAGACATGGTGAGTGAAGTATGAGAAAGAGAAAGGAAAGGTCAAAGGTAGGAGACAGCCACGTGTGTTAAACAAAACTCCCCTCAACTCACAGTCTAATTCTAGGGATCCCCTATCCTTGCACCTGCTTTCGGTCCTTGCTTGGGGAAACGTCACTTCAGGGGGGCTCTCTTCTCCTTTCTTAGAAGCTGGGACAGGCTTCATCTTCTCAGGATGGCCAAGGTACAAAGGAAGTTATAGCTGTTATCTACTTCTCAGAGCTGTGATTCATGAGAAGAGACCTCTACCTCAACAGACATAGAGTGGCAGAGGGCGAGAGAGATGAGGGATCAAATTTACTGTCTCATTGACTTATGCTAACAAACACATCAGTGAGAAGACATCTGCTGTCCTGAAGAGAATGTCACCTAGTGGGACAGCCAATCTTTTCATACCTACATTAAGATGAATCCTATCTTCATTATTGATACCATATTACCAAATCAAAGCAGACCCATTACTTTATGAGTTCCTCAGTGTAACATTATCCTAGGGGCACATCTTAATGGCTTTTTAAGGCAAAGTTCTAGGTATGCATCTACAGCTGGCTGCATTGCCTTTCATGTAATTATTCCACACAACCAATTCACCAACCAGTCATAAGCTCTTGCTTTCTTATGGGGGTCAGCCAGAAAGAACAGATGAGAGATGCTGGGTTGATGGTTGGATTTGATCATCTCAAAGGTCTCTTCCAACCTTGACGACTCTGTGAAACAGGGAAACTAATGAATAAGCCGTGTAATCTTCATTTGAGACTCAATTGTTTCCTTAAGAACCAGACTGTGCATGAGGGCAGCATTTTGCTACAGCCTTTATTCTTCTTTCACACGTGGTGTGAGTCAAGCAACTTAAGCACGTTTGTGCTTCCCAGAGTCCTTTCCCCTCCTTCCCTCCTTCAGAGGGGACTGACTGAGACTTCTGTGAGGGTCTGACCTTGCAGGGTTGAAATGGGGGTACAGTGCAGGAGGGCAGGTTGTCTCCTCCTTGGGAAAGCCATCCTGGACCATGTTGGGTATTTAAAAACCTCGATGCCTGCAACTTCAGATAGTGCATAAAACACAAAGTCGCTCTCTGGCCTTGACTTGAGAGGCTCAAGCCCATTCCTGGTCACTGATGCTCACGAACACGGCACCACCTTCCAAGCTGACAGTGCAACCCTGGTGAGCCTTGCTGTAGGGCACGACATCCGAGTGCCCCTCACCCCTCTCTGTGTGACTCCACGCACACGAGCCAAGGCTTAAAGCCCCCTTGCTCCCACCGGCCCCCAGCCACTGCCTTCTGCCTGCACGGAACGGTTAACTCGGCCTGGAGCGCTCCTGCCAGCTGCCCGTGTCCCCTCCTGTGCTATTAATACAGCGGGCACATGCTCCGACGCCGCGTTCCCCGGTAGCCCCAGATAACTTTAATTTGCCCTTTAAACGTCCCGGGCCGCGCGCCCCTCACGGCCCCGGCCCGGGGGGACGCGGCGGGGGCGGGCCCAGGGGGCTCAGCCAATGCCTGCGCCCCGGGGGGTGCCTCCTCCTATCGCGAGAGGCCGCGAGCTATAAGAGCGGCGGGGCGGGGGGGGGGACCATTTGGCCGGCCGGGTGGGGAAGTGCGCGGTCGTTGCCTCTCTCCGGGTGGGGGTGTCGGACCGGCTCGCGGAATGGGAGACCAAGCACTCAGCTTCGTCAAGGACTTTCTGGCCGGCGGGATTGCCGCCGCCGTCTCCAAGACGGCTGTCGCCCCCATCGAGAGAGTGAAGTTGCTGCTGCAGGTGAGGGGCAGTGGGGGGCGGGCGGTGGGGCCGCGCCACAGGTGGTGCCGGCGCGGCGGGCACTGCCCGGCGTGACTAAATATGGGAAGGAGCTCGGCCGGCTCTGGTTACGCGGGAACTGCCCGGGACCTTCAGCACCGCCTCGGGGTGGCGGGAGCTGGGCCGGCCCCGTCCGTGCCCTTCAGCGTGCGGGGTCACTCCTGCCGTGCCCTCTTTCTACCGTCCCGTCCTCCTCCTTCTCCCCCGTGCAGGTCCAGCATGCCAGCAAACAGATCACGGCCGATAAGCAGTACAAGGGCATCATGGACTGCATAGTCCGCATCCCCAAGGAGCAAGGCATCGCTTCCTTCTGGAGAGGCAACCTGGCCAATGTCATCCGGTACTTCCCCACCCAGGCCCTCAACTTCGCCTTCAAGGACAAGTACAAGCAGATTTTCCTGGGCGGAGTGGACAGGCACAAGCAGTTCTGGCGCTACTTCGCAGGGAACCTCGCGTCTGGGGGTGCTGCGGGAGCCACCTCCCTCTGCTTCGTCTACCCGCTGGATTTCGCCAGGACCCGGCTGGCGGCTGATGTGGGCAAAGGAGCTACAGAGAGGGAGTTCTCTGGGCTGGGCGACTGCATTATGAAGATCTTTAAGTCTGATGGCTTGAGGGGCCTGTATCAAGGATTTAGCGTGTCTGTCCAGGGCATCATCATCTACAGAGCAGCCTATTTTGGGGTGTATGACACGGCCAAGGGTAAGAAGTGCATGGAGGAGTGACTGCAAGGGAAGATCCATCCAGTAAAGGCACTCTAGAGCACTTGGCAGTACAAGGACAGGCAGGGCTTGGCTCAGTACCAGTTCAGAGTGCAGTGCTAGAACACACACAGGTGTTTCTGACATGCATTCCTGCCTCCCTCAAGTTGCTGTTCTGAGCAGATGCCTTGGTTTTGGATTGACTCCTGGGGTTGGTGGGTGATTGTTCCTTCCACAGCCATCTTTCCCACAACCCTTTCCCTCTGTTCTGACTCTGCTCATTTGTTCTTGATGACAGGTATGTTGCCTGATCCAAAGAATGTGCATATCGTAGTGAGCTGGATGATTGCCCAGAGTGTCACTGCAGTGGCAGGGCTGGTTTCTTACCCTTTTGATACTGTGAGACGTAGGATGATGATGCAGTCTGGCCGAAAGGGAGGTAAGAATAAATGCTCCTATGGTATTCTGGCAGCAGAAAGTATCTCTTCATTGAGATAAGATGGGAGATACTGGGTATTTTTTTCTCTTATGGAAAACTAATGACCTTCTTAATGGAATCCTTTAAAAACAACCCACGGGAAACACATTGTTGGTTATTTCTGTCACGTTCACTTAAAGGACTGAGAAATTACTTGGTTTCCACGTGGGGAATTACTTTTCCGTAATTGATTACTTAAATTCTGGGCTATACTTTGCTTATTCCTTGTTGGTTTAAAGATGGGGAAGTTGAAACATATTTGCTGTATAACTTCAAGCCTTATGACCTTTATGTTTGTTTCCACAGCTGATATTATGTATAAGGGCACAATTGATTGCTGGAAGAAGATAGCTAAAGATGAAGGATCCAAAGCGTTCTTCAAAGGTGCCTGGTCGAATGTGTTGAGAGGCATGGGTGGAGCTTTTGTATTAGTACTTTATGATGAAATCAAGAAGTACGTCTAAAACCGAACATCATAATGTAGTAGTTCAATTGTTCTCAATCAACTTTTTTTTAAAATGTGCTCTTGTGATGTAATGGACAACAAAATATTTCCTAGGGAAACAGAATAAAATTTGAGTAACGTATCTGGCAGAGATGAGGATGCAATTATTTAAAAATTGTCCACTACATCACAGCTACATTTTGTATGACAATTCCTCCAGCATTTGTATTGGAACCTGTGTATATATTATACTTCAAATTGCAGGTAATAGATTTTGTCTAGAGACAAGACTTGGGTGGTCTATATCTAGTCTGAAATCTAATAATGTGAATTCTTAATAGATTGTCATAAATATTTATGGTATTAAGCAATGTCTCTAGGTACCCAACCGTGTGATGATATAACATGAATTAAAATCATGTTTTCTTCTAAAGCTCTATTTTTTAATGATACTAAGTGAAAATGTCTGGAACTATAAACTATATTGAAGCACCAGGCTGAGTTCTTAACTGCAGCTTCTTCACTGACAAATTACAGTTATATGGTTGAGACCATAATCTGATTTTTCAACCATTCTTTGTAGAATATGGAAATAAAGTGTTTCAAAAGTTCCCTGTATTTGGACAAAGCAAAAAGTTGTCTGCTTTGAGGTTCAATTGAACTAAAACTGAAATGAAATAAATTAATGTATTAATGAACTTTTTTCTGTTGTTTTCAGTACACTGAACACATTACAAGCATGTGTCTTCTAAGGTGATGTGCTAATCAGCACACTGTTAGTGACTGTCTCTTTAAAGTTTTTTCAACAGAGCTTTAGAGTAGGTGAAGTGGTTATTGATAATTCTACAGTTGCAAAACCAAGTGGATTGAGTTTGAGGGTACTGCAGCCAGTTATCTTAGAGATAAGCTTCCATATAGTCTTAGCTGCTTTGATAATTTATGTTATCCTTAACTTTGAGGTGTGTCCTCGTTGAATAGTGAAGTCATTGCTGCTTATTTTACTTGAAAACGTATTCTAGAGTGGGATACTCACGAGTTATTAAAATAAATACACTTGCAACTACACCATTATGAACACACTGAGCTATTAATTACCAGTGAGATCAGAACATGCTCAATACAGTTTTTAAAGTTTAGATGCTGCATGGTTGTGAACTCACTGAAGAATAGGCTGTTCAATCAGGCACAGAAGAGAAAGTGAGTTGTGGCTATTTCAGTTGTTAAGTTTGGCTATATATAAACAAAAATTTGGTACATATCCACCTAGGAAAAGAATCATAGAATGAGAGCATGGTTTGGGTTGGATGAAACCTTAAAGATGATCTAGTTCCAACCCCCTGCCATGGGCAGGGACACCTTCCACTAGACCAGGTTGCTCAGGGCCCCATCCAACCTGGCCTCGAACACTTCCAGGGTTGGGGCATCCACAGCTTCTCTGGACAACCTGGCCAAAGGGTAAGGTTAAGCAAGTAATCATCAAATAAATTTTTATTTCAGTTTCATCTTTTACTACTTCATATGTATGCCTCCCAGTTATCCCTCTTCTATATTTGAAACATTTATTGTCAGATGCAGGTGGTTCTGGCTCTCTGTCCCTTGGCACGATAGGCTCTGTGTGTCTGCCACAGGTTTCAATCAGCAGTTCTGTTCTCCCTGAAGGCAGGTACAGACCACTAAACAGTGTCTGGAAACTGTCTATCCACCTGAAGAACTGAAGCATTTTGGGAAACAATTGAATTGATCAAAAAAAAAAAGATAGACTGTTTTTAAATTAACAAAATTTAAATTATTTGTCCCAAGACAAAACCTGGCCTGATTGTTACATCTCCCTTTTTTCATGGTCACTATCTTGAACACCTGCTTTTCTAGCTATCTGGTCTGTTTTCTTTCCCATTGTAAATAACCATGGTCACAATCTATCAAACCATAAATTTGTGAAGAAAATATTTCTACTAGTTTTCAAAGTGCATTAGTCTTCCTTAAAAGCTTTAGCTGCCAGTTTCACTTCTCTTCCTTTTCTCCTTCCTCTACACATTCCTAATGGTTCCTTATGAGAAGCCTGCTAACACACTCCAAGTCTCCATTTTACATTTAGCTCACTGATTAGGTTGCAAATGGCAGTTGGACGTTAGAGAAGATCGAAGTTGGCTACAAAGATGGCAGAGACAATGATGGACTGTAATAGGCAGAGGTACCAAACAATGGGGGGAAAGTGTATTTATGAATGGATAAGACAAATAAGAGGACACAAAGAAACTTACTTGGAAGTATAAATGAAAGAAGTTGCATTCCAGAAAAGAAAAAGGAAAAAAAACCTAAACGTAGAGGGAGGAATAAAGGCTATTAAAAAGGAATGTGAGGAGTATCAATGCAGGAAACTTCCACTGGGGTAAGAGGCCTTACATGAAAGAAAATATACAGAAAACATTTAAAGGTAAATGGCTGTTTATTTCTGCTTGAATGCCAATACATATGCTGTGGCAGATTGCAGGCAGCAGTCTCCGTAAAGATACTTGTGATCAGAGTTCAAAACTGTCGATGAATTAACCATTCCCCTGAAAGCAGCTCTGCCCTGAGCCTGTGGCACTCAGTGTAACACTTGCTGGAAGTGTAACCTAAAATGCAGCTCTAAGCTCCGAAAGCCTGGAAATTAGAAGACTTTGCAGATGGTCTCTAATTTCTACTTGAACTCACAGTCAATTGATACTACTCCTTTCACACTTTTGCAATACCTGGTCACAGGCAAACTATGCAGGCTAAAGCCTGTGACAAAACCATTACTCCCTTACATCTAATACTTGAACACTGGGAAACCTGTGTTTTTTCTGGTTTTCTATGTGCCAAGCTATTCAACATCCTTTGCATCTTAATACCATTTATAAAATTCTTAAAGAAGCCACTGCAACGGCAGTTCGTGTTAAATATTTTATTTCTTATGATTTACAAACGACATACAAAATTGACAGTTTTTCATACCAAAGTTAAATAAGATGAAGCGATTGAAAGTAATCAAAAAAACCTATCATATTCAGAAGTATTTAAG